GGGAAAACTCCATAAAGAAGGTGTCTCACGAACTCACCGATGTTCATCGTTTCCAACGTGTGAACGTTGCTTCGTTTCTTCTGGCGCGTAATGCGCGTGAACCATTTTTGGAAACAATTATCACCGGTGACAAGCTACACGAGAGCTATCTGCACCAGCTGTTCCTAATTTAGCAGTGATAGACTAGGGGAAGGAAACTAGTCAACAACACCCACCGCCAACTCTTGCGCTACTCTTTTCCAACTAATAGTTAGTCACATTATAACGCCTTCATGGCTGCAAAGACGAGCGGTACGGTGAGACGGAGATTCGAACCAGCGACCCACAGATTTCGTGTCGAGCGCCCTTACCACTCTTATTAAAATAAATATAAGATATTTGTAATGTTCATAAGCATACAAAGTATTGCATTATAACGTGACAAAATGGTGTTTCTCTTTAAGGCCTACAAATGCATTCATTTTAGTGTTAGCTTCCAACATAAATTGTAACAAATGTTTCTTGATTTTATGATAAAAATATTTATTTTGTTTTTAAAATGAGAAAGTAGTTTATTAATAAGTTATGAACTCTTGTCACTTTAGGTCTTTTAGAATCATTCCGAAGACTTATCACAAGCACGCGTTGTTTCGTCAATAATAAAACGATTTTAAGAGAGCTATAGAGTTTATTTTTATTCCTTGTTCTCACAAGTATTTAAATAATATGCCGATAAACCATTATTTCTTTTTCTAGAAACGTTTCAAAATTACAAAATATTTTTCTTCCTTTTCTCATTGGAGCGCCACCTTCTCACATAAGCTTCATGGATTATTTATCCCAGAATACTTTGGGTGAATATATAACACATGAAAATGATTTCTTTAAAGCAAACCTAGGATTTATTAGTATGTTTTCATTACCATATTCTTCGACTCTTATTCTAACAACTGGTGACGACTTTTGAAACTAGAAAGATAGCTTAAACAAACACAAGCAAATTAGAATCTATTTAGCCTTATCACTGCATAATACAGTATAAGGATAATTAAAACAAGGCTAAAATATACTGTTATAAAGTAAAGCCAATTATATTTTCCACTTCAGGACATGTCTTAGTTAAAATATTGTAAAATAAAACTCCAATTATTATTTAATTGTTTTGTGCAGCTCATTTTACAACTAAACAACAACAATCTTAGGCCTAGTATATATAAGAGATTTAGTTAGAAACGACAACTAAACAACAACAATTTTAGGATTAGTATATATAAAAGATTTCCTTAGAAACGACAACTACACAACAACAATCTTAGGCCTAGTATATATTAGAGATTTCCTTAGAAACGACAACTACACAACAACAATCTTAGGCCTAGTATATATTAGAGATTTCCTTAGAAACGACAGGAAAACGTGGTTAAAATGGGAAAAACACTTTGCCGAATTTTTTTAGAACACCGACGGCGTCCTCTCAAGTACGTCTTAAAACTAACCTTATCAATCCTCATTTTGTAGCGAAATCCCGGTAAAAACTCCATAGCTTGGTAGTTAGTATTGGGAATGACATGAGGCGAATGTAAAATGAAATTCAGCCTCACAGTTGAATCCATGGGAGTGTAGTCGTTCTCTTCCAGGTTTATGTATAGTTTGATCTCTGAAATAATATTTTTTTTTATTAAATGTTAGACAAAAGTGAATCAAAGGTAAAAAAAAATATTGTTAAATTAATGTTAATTTTATTTTTACTCAAACAGCAGGAAGTTTGATAGTTTGCTAACGAAATGGTGTAACTTCACCGTTTCTTTATATTACTATTAATATATTTTATCATGAGAACGAAGTAGTACAAAATTATAATTATTTTTTTAAGAAACGTTATTCACAATTTCCCTTTATGTAGTCGATATAAGCTCAACTTGTGGCACACGTAGGAGATAAATAACGTAAAAAAAATGTATTTTAGTGGCTGTTTCTCAGTCATCGTATTGCTAAGTGTCAGATATATTCTTTTTGTTTGTTGTTAAGCACAAATCTACAGATGTGGCTATTTGTGCTCTACCCACCACCGGTATCGAAACCCGATTTTTAACGTTATAAACTGTCGGAGTTTCCCTGCAATTCGATCGCTAGGTATAAAATATGATTATTCTTTTTTTGTTGTTTGTTTTTTGCTGAACATAAATCTACACTATGGCTCTGTCCACTGCGGGTATCAAAACCCGATTTTAGAGTTTCGAACTGATTACGTGTAAAACATGAAATATACAAGTTGAACAAAAGTTACTGACAACTGGTTCTCAGACAGGGAAAGACATATAGATCTAATATTTGTAGTTACTGACAACTGGTTCTCAGACAGGGAAAGACATATAGATCTAATATTTGTAGTTACTGACAACTGGTTCTCAGACAGGGAAAGACATATAGATCT